CAGTTAAGAAAGATGATAGGAAGAAAATCAACTCCTTTGAGATATGGTACAGGAGAAGAGTGCTGAGGATCCCGTGGACAGCCAAAAAGACAAACAAATGGACCCTAGAGCAAATCAAGCCAGAAACCTCCCAGGAAGCCAAGATGACCAAACTGAGACTGTCATATTTTGGACACATCATGAGAAGAGAAGACTCATTAGAAAAGACATTAATGCTGGGGAAGGTGAAGGTAAGTGGGAAGAGAGGAAGGCCACATGGCAGATGGATGGACTCTATTAAGGAGGTCATGGGTATGGGTTTGCAGGATTTAAGCAGAGCAGTAGAGGATAGGGGGTCTTGGAGATGTCTCATCTATAGGGTCACCTTGGGTTGAGATTGACTCAGTGGCATTTAACAACAAAACCCTTATTTGAAGACTGGAAAGTTTTTCTCTTTATGTAATCTGAACAATGTGGCAAAGAATCCTGTATTTCTTTAAGTGTAGGCCCTTCATAATGACAGAAATGTGTGCATCATATAATGTATGAATGTGGCTGATATGTTAATTTTGCAGCTAAATAAATAGGTTTGTTAACTGAAATCAATACTTCCATTCGGCATTTAGGAAGAGCACAAACTTGTTAGTAGCTACTTCCTTATTATGATTGCATGTCATGAATTTCAACTATCCCTTATTGCTATTTTGAAAACCTGGCAATACTATTGGGGGCCACAAAAATGTCCCTCAGGGCCACATGAAGCCCACGTGCTGCTTCACAAGCTCTTGCAGAGCATATTATAAAACCAGTATGTTTATAGTGTAGTGGAGAGGAAATACCAGAGAGCACAGCTGAGAGCCAGTGTGATGGTATACAGGAAGAAATCTCTGAATTTAGGTAAAAGTGTTATCAAACACTGAACTGTACTGAAACTTGTACCCCTCCTTATGAGGAAGAGGAATTGCGGGTTTAGCAGTGACTGCTGTTACTGCCCTGCCAGCTTTCTAAAAATACTAGAGGCTGACATTAACCTTTTATAGACAAAAGGCCTCATTTGACCAAGAGAAAAGGAACACGAGGATGATAAACTGTCATTGTTGCCGGGTCCACCTCCTCTCTTGTACTCAGTAGATCAAATAGAAAAGTTTCCACTATTTCTTGGGGTGGGGTGACTGACTGTGTATATAAACTCTGTTGAGGAATTTTATCCACCTACTCTGATAGGATCTTTTCATTGCATTTACCTTTTTGTCTTCTCACTTGACATGTTTGCTGCTTGCAACTGTTAACGGCTTTTGGAATTACCAAGTTGTGTAGGAGTTGCAAAGTGGATTTGCACTCACTTATTAATTAGATATGTCTCAACAAGCTCTGAGTAAAGAAAACTGCCCAAACATCTGATTAGAATCCTAATTTTACATAAGACTTGGTATAAAGAAGCTGGTGGAATCAAACTATCACCCTTTTAAAGGTACTCAGGGAGTTTTTTTTATTAGTTCATGATAGAACATTTTGATTAAACTTACCTCATGTTTTCTTCTGACATCAGACTGTACCACTCTAACCTTTGAAATGTCATTAAAAGCAAACAGTTTGTAGGTGTTTGGCTTGTATGCTAACCTTTAATAATAATAATAATAATAATAATAATAATAATAATAATA